TATGTATGTATGTATGTATATATATATATATATTTATATTTATGTATGTATATGTATATATTTATGTATATGTATGTATATGTATGTATGTATGTATGTATGTATGTATGTATGTATGTATGTATATATATATATATAGAGAGTATCGAGCTTTTGCGCCCACTATCGAAATGATATACCGCGCAACTCGGTAGCAGCAAGAAGAGAGTATTTACCAGAGAGTATAGAGCAGATACGTGTCTACACATGACTACATACACTTGGACCCCTCCAGGAGTGTTTTTTGGAGTCTCTTGGGCTGTCTTGGGGCTCTCTTGGGCCGTCTGGGGGCCCTCCAGGAGGCCTCTTGAGCCGTCTTGGGGCGATTTTAGGGGCCTCTTGGGCTGTCTTGGAGTGTCCGAAGCCCGATGAAGGCGAGAATGCTAAAAACATGCGCACAAGCCTCCAGAACATTACTGATTTTGGCTTTCCGGGGCAGTCTTGGGGGGCCTCTTGGAGCCCTCTTGGGCCGTCGTTGGGGACTCTTGTGCCGTCTTGGGGCCACCTTGAACGCGCTCTTAAGGCCGTCTTGGGGCTCCCTTGAATTCTGTTGGAGGCCTGTTGAGGCCTTCTTGGAAAGCTCGCCCAGCGCGCGCCAGCACACCCCAGGAGCATACGGGAGATTTTGGCAGAGAGGGGGGGCCGGGCCTTTTAGAATCTTGCAGAAAGAGAGTCCCTGTACAGTGGAGACCCATGCCAAGAAACACCCTGCTCGCCTCCAGGGTGCCCTGGTTTTCGATGGTTTCGATGGTTTTGCTGTGAAAAGCGTGACGCTCCCACATCATAAATCAATAGACGTCCTCTCCGTAGCTTCGGATGCAACTCCTGGGAGGTCCAATTCTGTTTTTGCCCTGGTCTGAAATCCGGCTTAATCCGGCTCAATCCCGTTTAATCCCGCTTAATCCGGCTTAATCCCGCTTAATCCTGTTTAATCCGGCTTCATCCGAGGCCCGCTCCGGCATAACAGCCCCCCAATGGGGCTTACTCCCCTTTAATCCTTCCGACGAACACCTCCCAGCAGTCGCCTCCTGACGGAGCCATTTTGGCTCAAGGGGCTTGCGGCCGCGGCGCGGCCAGTGGGCCACCCGCCCCCCCCCCTTCTGGCCTGGCGGCGCGGAGCGGCGCGCAGCGGCGGCCCTGGCGCAGAGGCGCCGCCTGTCTCGCGCGGGCCGCCGAGGCGCCCCCGGGGCCGATGCCGCGCGGGCGGCTCGCGGGCCTCTCCCTGTGCCCGCACGCGCTGCACCACGCGAGCGCCTCTCGGGGGTGGACAGAACCCCCAACAGTGACACGTCGATTAGTGAATTGTCCGTTTTCGGTTTTCGAGAGGGCGCCGTGGCCGTTATTTTCCAGGCTTGCGCCCGCCAGGTTTGGGCCCGACGTCGTTTTCACTAAACCACGTTTTACTAAAGGGAGGTTTGTCCATCCCCGAGCCTCGGCCTTCTTGGCGGACGGCCCCACCCCGCTCCCGACTGCTGTCCCGCGCGGTGCCGGCCCTGCTGCGGGCGCGCCGGCGGCAGGCGCCGCCAAGCTCTCCAGCGCGGAGCTCGTCCGGGACCTCATGCAGAAGCTCGACCCCCAGCTCGGGAGCATCGTGCAGGTGCACCCTGAGCTCGCGACGAAGCTGCGCGGGGCCATCGACGAGGAGCTGGTCTCGAGGGGCCCCCAGCTGACGCCCGAGGGCGCCCAGGAGTTCAAGGCGGGCCTCATGGGAGAGCTCGAGGAGATGAACCAGTCGGTGAAGGGCAACCCGCAGATGCTGGCCATGATCAGGAAGCGGCTGGACCAGGGCGCGGCCAGGGCGGTGGCCGCCGCCGCGGCCCCGCCGGTTCTGCCGGCGGCGGCGCGGGCGCCGCAGAGGCCCGGTCGCCCGCGCGGCGGGGCGCCGGCGCGCGGCCCCGGCGGTGGCGGCGGCCGCTCGCCGGGCGCCTCGTTCCTGTGAGGCCGCCCGCCGCCCCGCCGTGCGCGCGCCGCGCGCGCACCGGGCGCGGCGCGGGGAGGGCCCCCGCCGCCGCGCTCGGGCGGTGCGAGCCGCCGCCCGCCCCCCTCCGCGGCAACACTGTATGTATATATGTATGTGTATGTGTATGTAATGTATATATATATATATATATATATATATATATATATATATATATGTATATATATATTACATGTATAGATATATATACATATATGTATATTTACATACATTTGTCTACATATATATATATGTATATATATGCCTATTATATGTAGATATAGATGTAGATGCAGATGTAGAGGTATATGTATATGTATCTTTATACATGCGTATGTATATGTACATGTATATGTATTTTGTATATGTATATGTATATGTAGATGTAGATGTAGATGTATATGTCTGTGTATATGTAGGTGTATATGTATATGTATATGTATATGTATATGTATAAGTATATGTATAACTATATGTATAGGCATAAATTTTGTATATGCACATGTAGTTGTATACGTATATGTATATGTGTATGTACACGTATGCGTATATGTGTATGTATCTGTATACGTGCATGTACATGTACAAGCACATGTACATGTACATGTGCATGTACATGTATATGTATGTATGTATGTATATGGATTTGTGTACGTTTTGCATGTGTATATGTATATGCATGTGCAGATGTATATGTATTTGTGCATGTATATACACGTGTATAGATATATGTATATGTATATGTATATGTATATGTTTATGTATATGTATAGGTATGTGTATTTGTATCTGTACATTTACAGTATATCTCCAGGTATATGTATATGTTTATGCATAAATTTATATGTTTATGTATATGTCTATGTGTATGTATGTGTATGTGTATATGTTTATGTATCTGTTTATGCATATGTATATGTATATGTATATACATGCCTATTTTTATGCATATGTATATGTATATGTGTATGTGTATGTGTATGCGTACGCTTACGTGTATGTAGATGTATATGTATATGTATATATATATATATGTACACATGTATAAATGTATATATGTATATATGTATATGTATATGTATATTGTTTTGTATATGTTTATGTATATGTTTATGCATAGGTGTATGTATATGCATATGTATATGTGTATATATATATGTATATGTATATGTGTAGGTATATGTATATGTATATGTATGTGTATATGTATCTATATATATGTATATGCATATGTATATGTATATGTATATGTATATGTATATGTATATGTATATGTATATTTATGAATTACGTTTCTATGTTTATGTATATGTTTATGTGTATATGTATCTGTATCTGTATATGTATATGTATATGTATGTGTACATGTATATGTATATGTATAAGTATAGGTCTATGTTTATGTATAAATATAGGTATGGGTATAGGTATAGGTATATGTATACGTATTTGTTTATATAGGGGTATATGTGTATGTATATATATATATATATCCACTTTTATTTTCATTATTTTTTCTTATTATATATATAAATAGACGTCCTGGGGTCTCGGGGTTGGGTTTCGCGCGGAAGGTTTCTCGTGGTCGACCCCCCAGTGTGTGACGCACAGTTGCAGGAGCCTTGGGGCACTCCACTACGTGCCTGAAGGCACGGTGGCAGCTTTGAGCAGACAGAATCAAACAAGCAAGGCATGACGCGAGCAAAACAAGCCAATGCACTCGTGCTGTCGGGAGCGTCTACTGGAGCGTATTAGACATTATCGTGGTTCGCTTCGTGAACCTATGCGGGGCTGCTCCGCAGTGGATGGAGGGCGAAACTGCGCCGACAAGGCAGGGTGAAATTGGCAGTCAGCCGCAGCGAGCAGGCGTGGAGTGGAGTACTACTCTCTACTACGTATTGTGACCGTGCTCACAGCGACCCAGGTGCTTGGCCGCAAACAAGATATCGAGAACCCAGGAATCTTTCACTGCTGGGAACCCTTGACCCAGAATTGGAAACCTCCTGGGAATCTGGCCGCCCACTGGAATCGGGCCGGATACTGGGAAGTCGAACGACATCGGCCCTGCGTTTTCGCCGAAACTGGGAATAGAGAACCCACGAACCAGGGCGCCCTTTGACTTCGGCATGGGTTTCACCATAAATCGTTCGTTTTGCTTGCGGAGCTGTTCAGCGCATTGTTGTGTTATAGAGATATACTACACATGTTTTGTTATACAGTCTAAGTTTTAAGTCGGCACCTTGAGTGGGTTTCTTGGAATCCCCTCGGGGACATACCTACATCAATATTTATGCATTTATATGTACACAAGTGTATGCTTACATACACACATATATGTACATATATATATATAGTCATGTATACATTCGTATATATATATATGCATATAGGAGCTCTTTGGGGAACCTTTTGAGTGCTTTCGTTGGCCGTTGGCTTGCTGGGCTGGCGAAATCGTACTAGTAGTGGTCGTGGTTGTGGTGGTGGTAGTTGTAGTGACGTTAGTGCTTCGATTGTCGTAGTAGTGGCAGTGGCGGTACTCGTATTCATATCGTTTTTATTGCTGCCAATTTTGTTGGGTGTCGTAGGGGTCGCGGTATCAACATGAGGAGAAGGAGAAACAGGAGGATGAGGAGTAAGGGGAAGAGGGGGAGGACGGTGAGATTCAAGGGGGGAGGTTGAGGAGGACGAGAGGGATGGGGGTGATGAGGGGGAGCGTCAGAAGGAAAGAGGCCGGGGAGGTCATGATGACGAGCCTGCTGATGGTGATGGTGGTGATGATGGTGGTGATGATGGTGGTGGTGGTGATGATCTTGATGCTGCTGCTGATGTTAATGCTGTCGATGCTGCCGTCGTTGATGTTGATGGTGGCGGTGGGGAGGAGGAGGAGGAGGAGGAGGAGGAGGAGGAGGAGGAGGAGGAGGAGGAGGAGGAGGAGGAGGAGGAGGAGGAGGAGGAGGAGGAGGAGGACCACGGCAGGGCGCAGGGCTGCGGCCCCCGCGCGGAGGCCGTCGGCGACGAGGTGGAGCCGAAAAAGCGGGGCACGGAGGCCCGGCGGCCGCCCGGCACCCTGAGCTCCCCCTGTCTCTCTCTGTCCCTTCCCTCTCGTCCCCTTCTCCCTCCTCCTCTTCCTGCCCTCCTCCTCCTTCTGGTGCTCTGCATCTCTCCCCCTCCCCCCTCGCCCCCTTCTCGCCCGCCTCTTCCTTCCTGGCCCTTCTTCTCCTGGTGCCCCTGATCGTTTCCTCTGATGCTCCTCCTCCTCCCCCTCCTCCTCCCTCCTCCCTCCTCCTCCTCCTCCTCCCTCCTCCTCCTCCTTCCTCCTTCCTCCCTGCTGCTCCTCCTCCTCCTCCTCCTCCTCCTCCTCCTCCTCCTCCCTCCTCCTCCCTCCTGCCGCTCTGGTCCGCGGGTGGAGAGTCCCTGCCTCTGCCCTCCATCCCCCCCCGTCGTCTTCCCCCACCTCCTGCTTCCTGCTCCTGCTGCTCGTCGTATCTCAGGAGGGACAAGAACACACACAGACACGATTCCCACGAAAGTGTGCGAAAATATGGGAGGTGGGGGGAAGACGAAAATCCCCCAAATATGAAAACATATGGGGAATCCTGGGATTCGTGTGTATCTATTTGTGTGTCCCAGGACCCCTTCAGTATCCCCCCCCCCGTCTTTTCCCGTCGTCTGCGCGTATCGCCTCCGTCGTCGTCGTTGTCGTCGGCGTCGTCGTGGACGTGGTACGTGTTGCTCTGCTCGGGACTTGTTTCCCTTATGCAGTGACCACCATCACCACCATCTCCTGCTTCTGCTGCTGCTGCTCCTCGTATCCCCCCCCTGCACAGGTGGTCCTGGCTATTGCCCAGCGCCAATTTCGGACCGAACGGAGCGCTCGAGGAAGAACTCGTAGAGTTAAGTGTGTCGGTGGAAGTTGCAACAGAGTGCTCGAATTGAGGCTCCCGATTGGAGTGCGTTCTCTGCTCCTGCTGACAGAGTCAGCTCTAGGGAAGTGCAGGCGACCGCATGCTCCACTGGTGAATGGAGAAAGAGGAAGAGGGCGTACACGTGTGGAGGATGAGCGGCTTATGAAGGCTGCCGCTGGCATCTGCAAGCCATGGGGAACTTGTCCCCTTCTCTCCTTTACGCGCCAGGCTGAAAACCCCGTTCTGCCAGGCACCGTGGGTTTTGGCAGCCTGCCGCTACCAGAGGGGAGCGTCGCTTCGTTTCAGCATTAGTGGCGCCGCCCCAGGCAGCCGCTTTGACGAAGAGCTCCACAGCTGCGTCTCGATAGGAATGCAGCTGGGTCGACATGATTTATCCATCAGTCTGCAGCAAGTCTTCCTGGTGCCACTGCACGACAGAACAAGCCGGGTGAATGCCCGTCATCAGTCAAGCTTAGTTTGGCGCGCACCATTCGTTTCATCCCGCGCGTGTGAGCGTTCAGGTTCAATGCTGCCCGAACGTGTTTCCAGAGTGAGGAAGGGGGGCGCAGTGCGCGGGTGTCCCGCGCGGTCGCCGTCGTCGCCTCTGATAAGGTCGTGCCCGTGGGGTCCCCCCGCAGGCTCCAAGCCAGCCGATGCGATCCCCGGCTCGGTCGCCCCTGTCCGCGGCGGCCCTGCGCGGTCGCCGTGGTCGTCGCCCGTGCGGCCCCGCCCCCGCCCACGGGCTCTCGCCCCTGCCGCCCCTCGCCCACGGACCTCCTCGCCCTCCCTGTACCCTGCGCCAGAGCTCGCGCCCGCGGGGCTCTCCGCCCGTGGGCTCCCGACCCTCGCGCTGCAGGGGCTCGCCGCCCGACGCCGCCGGGGCACCCTCTCGGTGCGCGGGGGCCTGGCCGTCGCCGTCACCGCCTCCGCCCACGCGACCCCGCCGCCCACGGCTGCGCCGGCCGTCGCCCACGGGGCTCCCCCCGCGGGGCGGGGTGCTCTGGCCCGCCCCGCGCTCTCGGCGCCGCTCCTGTTCCCGCCCCTGGCCTCGGCCTCCCGAGGCCAGCCCCAGGGCCTCCCCGAGGCTGCGACCTGGCCAGGCTGCCCGCTGCGGCGAGGGGCACCCTGGAGGCTCGCGGAGGGCGGGAAATTCCCAGGGATCGGCTGCGCGCAGGAGGGACCCTTCGACGGAGCGACCATTGGGCGCGGGGCCGTGGGGGCCCCTCCAGCACTGCCTGCCCTGCGTGCCTGGCTTTGCACCCCCCCCCGCCCCGAGATTCGGTCTCTTTACAACCAGAACAACCACTTTACAACCACATGGGTTACTTTACAACCAGCATAGGATTGGAAAATATGTTTTTTTCATCGAGAACGTCCACTTTGCAACCAGAACGGCCCACTTTACAACCAGGACGGACCACTTCACAACCAGAACGGGCCACTTTACAACCAGAACGGACCACTTTACAACCAGCTCAGAGTGGCCGTGCGTGTTTGGGCGTTCCGCAAAGTGCTCCAGAGCAAGTGGGCGCTCTGAAAAATGCCCCAGAGCAATTGGGCGCTCTGAAAAATGCTCCAGAGCAAGTGGGCGCTCTCAAAAGTGCTCCAGGGCGCGCGGACGCTCTGAAAAGTGATCCAGAGCACGTGGGCGCTCTGGAGCCCGAGCGCCTGAACTCTCTGCGCAGGCCCCAGCGATGCCTCTGAGCCCGAGCGCCTGAACGCCCCGCGCAGGCCCCAGCGATGCCTCTGAGCCCGAGGACCTGGACGCTCTGCGCAGGCCCCAGCGATGCCTCTGAGCCCGAGGACCTGGACGCTCTGCGCAGGCCCCAGCGATGCCTCTGAGCCCGAGCGCCTGGACGCTCTGAGCAGGCCCCAGCGATGCCTCTGAGCCCGAGCGCCTGGACGTTCTGGCGCTCTGAGCCCAGCAGACTAAGACAGGGCTTGCTAGCAGGGGCCAAGCGGCCTCAACAAGGGCCCCGTGCTCGCACAGGAATAAGGCGACAGCATACGTAGGAAGGCTCAGGGCGACGCGCTGCCCATTTAGGGATCACTCACAGGAAGCGAGCCCAGTGGCCTCCACAAGGGCCCAGCGCTCCAGGGAACTAGGCCATTGGCACCGCGGGTCTCTTGGGCCACGTTGGTCCCTGAAGCCCCACGGTGTTCTCCAAGGGGCTAAGTGCGCCCGCTCCACTTGGCCCCCTGCTGCTCCTCGTCTTGGAAGATCGAGGTTCAACGTTCCGAATAAATGCAACTATTTCGAAGATCGCTTCTTCCAGCGTCAGCCACGGTGCCAGCGCAGCAACGCAGGTATCGTGCTCGGGCAGCAGCCTCAGCCACCGTGCCAGCGCAGCAGCTTGAGCCACCGTGACAGCGCATCACCGCCACCTTTGTGCCTGCTACCACCACACTTACCGCTGCAGCCCCGCTGCCTCCACAATTCCGACTGACCCCCCGCTACTGCCGCAAATCCCATTGCAGCCCAGCTACCACCACAGTTCCCACCGTTGCCTTGCGACCGCCACAGTTGCCACCGCAGCTTCCCAACACCATGCAGTTCCCATTGTAGCCCCCGCTTCCACCACATCTCCCACTACAGCTTTCCGCTGCCATGCAGCTCCAGTCTTGGACGGGATCATGGTTTATTCGTATGTCCTGCGCGACTAGCCTTCGCCCGTCAGAAAAAGGCAGAGCAAGCAATGGCAGAACTGACCGACAGAGCTTAGAGAGCAGGTCAAAACTCGAATCCGCCCACCAGCACGCAACATGCCATAGCGCACCAGGTCGCCGCATCGCCAGCTCGTGCGCAGTGCTTCTTCGTGCGCGATGGGCAACTTTACAACCAACATGCCTCAAAGAGCCCAAAACCACCCTTGCGCTTGCCCACGGATATTTCAGGGAAAGACACGCGTGCATTCAACATGTGTTTTTATTTGCCTGGTTGTAAAGTGCCCTTCCTGGTTGTAAAGTGCCCTTCTTGGATTTTATAAGCTGGTTGTAAAGTGACCCATCTGGTTGTAAAGTGCGCTTCTGGTTGTAAAGTGACCCACGCGCGCCCCGCCCCTCCCGGGGCCTCGGGGAGGCCCCTCCAGCACTGCCTGCCCTGCGTGCCTGGCTTTGCACCCCCCCCCCGCCCCTCCCGGGGGCCTCGGGGAGCCCCGCGCCAAAGGTCACCTTTGCCCGGGGTGACCCCTGCGTCGTGCCGCCGGAGAGACCTCGGCCTTCGAGCCCCGATCCCCTCTGGTAATGCTTCGGTTGCGCACAGGCAGCCCCGCCCAGGGAGTCCCGGCTGGCCTCCTCCTCGAGTAGCCTCAGGCGGTCTCGACACCTCAAGCTCGGGGGGCGGAGCGCCCCAGGGGCGCCGCCGGAGGCGCCGCCAGGGCGTTGAGACCTCCCCGGGCGACTCCAGGTGTCCAGCTGGGACTACCAGGGGGGGGCTGCCTGTGCGCAACCCGAGGCCCTACCAGTCCCCTCCCACCTTCGGATGCAGCTCCTGGGAGGTCAAGTTCTGATTCTGCCGTGGTCCGAAGTCCGGCTTAATCCGGCTTCATCCCGCTTAATCCGGCTTGATCCCGGCGAATCCCGCTTAATCCGGCTTGATCCTGCTTGCTCCGAGGCCCACTCCGGCGTAACAGCTCCCAAATGGGGCTCAGTCCTCCCTAAATCTTTCCGACGAAAACCTCCCACAGCAGTTGCCTCCTAACCCCCCTCGCTCCGCTCCCGCCAATTGGGCCCTGGCGGCCGGCCGCCCCAGCCCCGCCCGCTCCCTCCCGGGCCGCCGGCGCGCGCGCACCGCCAGGCCGAGGCCCGGGCGTACCTCGACCGCCACAGGTGCGCCCCAGGGATCGGGACGACCGACATGGGTACGAAAGGGGTACAGGATGAGGAGGCGGAGAAGGAGGAGGAGGAGGAGGAGGAGGAGGAGGAGGAGGAGGAGGAGGAGGAGGAGGAGGAGGAGGAGGAGGAGGAGGAGGAGGAGGAGGAGGAGGAGGAGGAGGAGAGGAGGAGGAGGAAGGAGGAGGAGGAGGAGGAGGAGGGAGGAGGAGGAGGAGGAGGAGGAGGAGGAGGAGGAGGTGGAGGAGGAGGAGGGGAGGAGGAGGAGGAGGAGGAGGAGGAGGAGGAGGAGGAGGAGGAAGGGAGGAGGAGGAGGAGGAGCATGAGGAGGACGCCCGAAATGGGTACATCATGAATGGGTACAATGCCTAACCGCAGTTCCTGTTCATTCTGAACAGGACTCGCTGTCCGCGCCACCGCGGCCTGTGCCCACTCGAGGCAGAAGGCCGCCTGCCCAGCAGCGGCCGCTGGTGGTTTGGGACAACGTCTGTTGTTGGGCACTGTACCCATTTTTTCCGTACCCATTTCGGGCGTCCAAAAGGGAGGGCAGAGGTGAAGGGCAGGGAGGGAGGACGGGGATGGTGACGCCATATTCGTATCCCCAGCAGGAGAGTCTTGGAGGGACAGGGGGAGCTGGTGGAATTATCGGCCTCGTCGTCGGCGTCGTCGCCGTCTCCGCCGCCGTTGATCTTTATGGACAACTCCTCCCTGTCGCCCCCCCCAGGCTTTTCGGCAGGTCGGTGCGAGCGTCTCGCATGATAATTCTTCACCGTGGATGATCCTGGAGTTTCGGATGTGCAGCAGTTATATGGATGCTTGAAAATTTGGGTCTCGCCTTAGCGCCGCGTACGTTCGTTTCAAACATTTGCAACCGTTGCACGGGTTGAGCTGTGATCGTGTTCAGAATGGGGCTCTTGCTTTAGCGCCACGCTCATTCGTCTTGACAGCTTGCATCAGTTACACGGGTGGAGGGGTGATGGTGGTGGTTTTCAAAATGTAGTTTTCGTCTTAGCGCCGCACACGTTCGTTTCAACCGTTTGCAGCAACTACGTGTTGAATGGGTGGTGGTGGTGTTCAAAGTGTGGCTCTTTCTTTCGCGCCGCGCACATACGTCTTGCAAGTGTGTACCCCTCTTTCCTCGCTGCCTGCAGTGCTCCATCGGCTCTGGCGCTCGGTCGTCCAATTTTTCCCCCGTCCGTGCGACCTAGGAGTTATTTTCCAGCCCTTCCACTGGCTTGTGGTAGGGGGGATGAGGGGAAGGTCGACGACGTCAATCCTAGGGGTGAGCCTGCCTGCAGCATCGAGCGTCGAGGAGGATGATGAGGAGGAGGGCCAGTGTATTATAAAACCGATGTTGCAATACACCCTCCCTCCAAATTCCCTCTTCACCAGTTCCGAAAAGACGCTATTCTCATTGCGGGAAATGGCCCATTAGAAGACAATCGTTTGAGCATCATCAACTTTGCCAAACACATCATTTATGCGACTTCAGCGTCGCGGATCAATGTACTTGTTGCGTCCTGACAGTTCTAAATCGTACCAGAACGCCAGCGAAACAGTGTGTCTGTTGCGTCCTGGCAGTCCCAAATCGTGCCAGAACACCATCCCTGGGACTTTGACCAGGCGACTCTTTGAAACCGTTGTAAACCTTTGAGATGAATGTGCGTGACGCTAAGGCGAGAGATAAACTTTTGAATAGGATCCGCCCTCAATCCGTGAAATGGCTACTAGCATTTAAGACGATTGCGCGCGGCGCGAATGCGTGAGCCACATTTGAAGAGGACGCACCCACCAGCCGTGAAGCTGCTGCAGGCTTTTAATACGAATGTGCGTGGCGCCGCGGCGAAGGCCACGTTTTGAACAGCAGTTGCAAACTGATAAGACGAATGTGCACGGCGCTTAGGCGAAACCAACTGTTTGAAAACGAGCCGCCCTCCATCCATGAAGCTGCTGCAACATTTTATTCCCTACCTAGGCTCTGCCTAGAAGGGTTCTTACTCTGTAGCTTAAAGGGGCCGGGCAGTGGAAAGCGCCCCGGGCGGTTTCCCAGTCCCCTGGGAGCCAAGCAAAAGCAGCAGCAAAGGGAAACGCAAACGCGGGGTTCCCCCAGTTGCGCTCCCTGGGTGCCAAGCAAAAGTAAAAACAAAGGCAAAGTGAAGGCAAAAGCGAAGGCAAAGCAAAAGCATAGCATAGCATAGCGTAGCGCAGCATAGCATAGCGCAGCATAGCATAGCGCAGCATAGCCTAGCCTAGCCTAGCCTAGCCCAGCCTAGCCCAGCATAGCATAGCATTGCGCAGCATAGCATAGCATAGCATAGCAGGGCAGAGCATAGCATAGCACAGCATAGCATAGCATAGCGCAGCACAGCATCCACTATTGCTGCTGCTATGCAGTGCATAGCGCAGCACAGCATAGCATAGCATAGCGCAGCACAGCATCCACAGGTGTAGATAGAGATGTAGATGTAAAGAACTCCCCAGTGCCCCGCCCTCATCTCCGTGCCTGCTTGCTTTTGCTGTTGTCTCGGCGACTTGCTGCCTGCTTCTGCTGCTGCTTCACTTACGGCGTGGCGTCGGCGGTTCTGGCGCTACTACTACTACTACTACTACTACTACTACTACTACTACTACTACTACTACTACTACTACTGCTACTACTACTACTACTGCTACTGCTACTGCTACTACTGCTACTGCTACTACTACTACTACTACTACTACTACGACTACTACTACTACTACTACTACTACTACTACTACTACTACTACTACTACTACTACTACTACTACTACTACTACTACTACTACTACTACTACTACTACTACTACTACTACTACTACTACTACTACTACTACTACTACTACTACTACTACTACTACTACTACTACTACTACTACTACTACTACTACTACTACTACTACTACTAAACTACTACTACTACTACTACTACTACTACTACTACTACTACTACTACTACTACTACTACTACTACTACTACTACTACTACTAACTACTAACTACTAACTACTAACTACTAACTACTACTACTACTACTAACTACTAACTACTACTACTACTACTACTACTACTACTACTACTACTACTACTACTACTACTACTACTACTACTACTACTGCTACTACTACTACTACTACTACTACTACTACTACTACTACTACTACTACTACTACTACTACTACTACACTACTACGACTACTACTACTACTATACTTACTACTACTTACTACTACTACTGCTACTACTACTACTACTACTGCTACTACTACCACTACTACTACTACTACTACTACTACTACTACTACTACTACTACTACTACTACTACTACTACTACCGCTACCGCTACTGCTACAACTACGGCGATGAGGAGAAGGAGGAGGACGGCGTTTACCGCTCCTGCTAATGTTGCTTTCCTAGAGGTTCCAACTCCTAGGTAGGGTCGCACTGGGATGCTGACGAGTGTGCGCGGCGCGAAAGCGAGAGCTACATTGTGAAACCAGCCCGCCCTCCATCCGTGAAGCTGTTGTAAATTTCCCGCTTCAGGACCATCAGTGGCGACGAAGTCTCAGGCGAAGCGCCCAGCCCGTCCTACCGACGCGTCTGGGCGTGCGACAGGCAGGAGTTTCTTCTAAGGAAAGTGGTTGGAAGGGGGACGAGGAGGAGGAGGAATAGGCATCTGAAGAAAACACGAATATAAATAATAACAAGAGCACGACTTATGCTAATACGGGTAAAAAGCAATATTATTAATCCGAATGATATTAAGGGTATCGATCGCACACCTAAGACAACTATGGATCATGATACGACTAATAACAGTAATAGTAAGACTACCACTGATACTAAGCAGCAGAGTAATAACGATACTATATACTAGTAAGAATAAGACGAACACACTGAATACCATTACTAATACAAATGAGGAGAAGACGACGGTTAGTAATAACACTAAAACTAGTAATACTATCACGGGTTATACTACGAAGACGAATCAACATACGACGAATACTAAGAATAGTCGTAATCATACTAAGCAGAAGCATACTAATACTACTAAGCAACAGGATGCGAAAACCACTAGTATTAAGAATACTAAGAAGAGGAGGAGGAGGCGGAGCAGGAGGAGGAGGAGCAGGAGGAGGAGGAGTAGGAGGAGGAGGAGGGAGGGGAGGAGGAGGAGGAGGAGGAAGAGGAGGAGGAGGAGGATGAGGAGGAGGAGGATGAGGAGGAGGAGGAGGAGGAGTAGGAGGAGGAGGAGGAGGAGGAGGGTGGAGAGGAGGAGGAGGATTATTATGAGGGTTCGTAGGAGGAAGAGGATTCGTAGGATTCGTAAGATTCGTAGGATTCGAGGGATTTGTGGGAGGAGGGGGAGGAAGAGGAATAATACTAATAAGGAAACACATACTAAGAACACCAAGAGGGATTCGAATGATAGCATGCAGAAGAACAACACAGAGAAGAATAATAAGACGAATAAGACTAGTAAGAAGAACAACACTAATACTCAGGCGGAGAAGAAGAAGCATAACAAGATGAATGATAAGGATCCTAATAATACTATTGATCGTAAGAAGGCGAATCGTAGTACTAGTGAGACACATAAGAAAACTATTACACATGATTCTAATAGTAAGATGGATATTACGTCGAATACGAATACTACTAATCATAACAGGGATAAGAGTACTAATAAGACGAATACTAATAATACTAATAATAATACTAACACGAGGGATAATACTCATAGCAAGAGGAATAATACATTATACTAATGATAAGACGACGATCAATAATAACAACACTATTACGAATCGTAATCGTACGAATACTAATAACAATATTGGTACTACTATTAGGAATAATGGAACATCACAAAATGAAGTGCCAATACTATTAATAATGCTGGTCGTAATACTAGCAATACGATTAAATATACAAATAATGAGGCACATCAAACAAACATGCGAAACATAAGGACAACGCGAATATTAATGAGCGTAATCATAATACCATTCGAAATAAAGAAGACGAACAATAATACTAATAATGTTGCGAAGGAGAAACTAATACGACTAATACGACTTAACCGAATCATGATACTGATGCAGTAATCGTAACATTACGTTTACTTGTGGTAATACGAAGAATATTTCGAATACGAATTGAAACAAAATTCATGATCATACTCGCAATAATACTAACAAGACTAAGAAGAAGAGGAGGAGGAAGAGGAGGAGAAAGAGGAGGAGGAGACGCCCCCCCACCCGACGGCCGCCGCGATGGTCGTGCTCCGAGTGGCCGCATGCCCTGACTGCCCCACGGCCCCCCGACCCACCCGAAGGCCCCCACGAGCCACCACCACGACGGCCCCCCACGACGGCCACGCTGCGACCCCACGATGGCCCCACGACCCTGCCCCCACGACGGCCTCCACGATGGCCCCGACGCCGCGCCCGACGCGCCCCCCGCGCCCGGTCCCCCGCTGGGACTGCCTCGGCTACGCAGACAGCGCTTCCCTCACGGGCAACCTGGACGGCCCACAGAACGGACGACCAGGCCGCTGACCCCACGACCCCGTTCCCCCGACGCCGTGCCCGACGGCCTCCACGGCGACCCCCTACTCAACACGACCGCTCCTGCGACCCCCCACCCTGGGACCCCTCGCCCGACCCGGCGGCCCCGACGACCACCCTTTTGCGACGCCGACGCCAACGACCGCCAAGGGGGTCGCGAAAATGGCCACGGCCACCAGGAAGGCCCATGCGACAGCCCCCACGACGGCCCCCACGACGGCCTCGCACCGACGAGCCCACTGGCGACCACGGACACCGCGACGGCTCCGACGAAGGGGAGGCAGAGGAAGCGGAGAAGGGCGCGCCCACCCCGGGGCCCTTGGCAAACGGTTGCGTCCCGCACGCGCGCGCCAATCCCCTCACAACGGGCGGCCGCCACACCCGGCTGCGCAACGAGAGGGGCGAGCAGCGCGGCCTCCAGCCGCGCGCTCAGCGCAGCGCCTGGCCTCCCCTTCTGCGGCGAGCACAGCGTCTACTGCGCCCAGTAGCGCGAGCGGGGCCACGAAGACGGCGACGTCTCCTCAGACGAAACAAACCACGAGGAGGACGAAGACGAAACCTCCGACGACCCCGACACGCCGAACCCACTCCTTGCTGCCTAGCGACGGAGCCGGTGGCAGCTCCAGCGGAGATGGCCGTCCCCCCCTTCCCCACGAACTCCCTCCCCGCGCCCCGCGACCCTTTCCCGACGGCCCCTACGAAGGCCCCCATCGACACCCTGTTCTACCCGACGGCCCCCGCGTGCCCTGCGAGAGAACCCGTGGGGAGCATTCTGGGGGAAGCGGCCAGAAGGGGCAGCCGAGGCCACCCTTCGACGGCTGGGCGGGCCAGAATGCGGCCCAGAAGCCGCCATTTTCGTAAACCAGCGGCCGGAGGCTTGGGAACCATGCGCCACCTCCCCCACCCCTCCTGCCTCCTGACCGCTCACTTGCCCCTCCCTTCACCTACACCTGCTCACTCTTGCGTGGCCGCCTCCCGCCTGCGGCCACTCGTCTCGACCAGCTTCTCTCCTCCCGCTCCCTCTTTCCCTCCCGAGGCATGTTTTCCTCGGTCTCCGTCCTCCCAGGTTCCGCCGTGTCCGCGGCCGTCCCCTGGGGGCCCCCCTCTCCCTCCTCGCTCGCCCGCGCGCCCGTCTGGCAGGGTTGGGACCAAGACCGCACTGCCCGCTTCAACCCTTCCTTCCACCACCAGGGGCTGGTGCTAAACCGTAGAACGTGCAGCAACCAACACGAGTGGACCCGCGACAGTGCTTTCTCTGGCGTGCTTGCAGTGGTTTGGGGCGGGGCGGAGGTCATTGGGCTGAACTGACAAACCCCAGAGCACGGCGAGCGTGCAGCCGCCGTCCGGCCTGACCGAGCACGGACCGCTCTCACCCTCTGCGTTTGGCTCACGGCTGACGGACTGCCGGGCAACCGCCGCTTCCACCGACGCCAGCGCCGGCGACCTGACCATGCTCGCCACGGATTGCGCGTTGCGACAGCTCCATGGGCACGTATTCCCCCTCCTATTAATCGTTCTCTCATCTTCTCGCTTCGCCACTCCTCCATCTGAGCCTGCCGCAGGCGCAGGATGCCGCTCCGTGCTCCTGGGGTTTCATTTGCACGCCACAGCGTGCTCTTGGGGTTGCATTTGCGCACCACAGCACGACATTCGAAGAAGGCGCTGCCCAACCACCAGACCATGGCGGCTTGGGAGGCGGAGTGCAAGACCGTCAAAGCCAACTTTATCACCCTTGTGCTGGACAAGCCTCAGCACGACAGTCGAAAAAAGGCACCGCCCAACCACCCTGCCCAAGCAGCTCGGGAGGCGGAGTGCAGGACCGTCGAAGCCAATTTTCACAGCGAGCCTCAGTGAGGACCACGAGGGCGCCGCACCCAGCCAATTGGGAAGGGGGGGAGACTACGATATCATGCGTGGATGGAGGGGTCGTGTCGGCAGACCCAGAGGACGTGCAGTAGTACTCTCTTTGGAAACCTTCGCCAACCCGGGGGCCCCCTCCAGCGCCCCCCCACTCGCTTCTGGCACTTGGGCGGCACGCTTGCTTTGCGTCTGTGCCGCTGTCCCTGTTTCGGTCCGGGGGGGTGCCTTTCTTCGTCGTGCCTGCTGCCCTCCCGCTCTTCCTCGCCTCTTCTGCTGCTCCTCCCCTGCGGTTTGCCCTTTCGGGTCGTCCCTTCCGTCGTTCTCCTTCTCCTCCTGGGGAGGCCCCCCTTCTTCGTTGGCGTGCCACTTTTGCAACGCCAGCCCAGCCTTCGGGGGTTCAGGAGGGTGTTGCTTCGTCTGAAGATTATATAGCCACCAGGAACCAAGAACCACGAAGAGGAGGAGGAGGATGAGGAGGAGGAGGAAGAGGAAGAGGAGGAGGAATAATATTAATTATCATAGCATTAATAGTAAGTCACAGTAGTAGTAATGAAGCTACGATTCATCATATTGGTGGTATGCATAGTGAAAACCATACCCGTATTAATGATTTTATGCGCGATGCTATTAATAGAAATGCTAAGATCGATCATATTTTTATTATTTTCATTGTTGGTATTAGTGTAATATTTTGCTAATTGTTCTTATTGTTCTATAGTGCACATGAATGAGAATTGTGAGGGCAGTGCTACTCATACTAGTCATACGACGACTGTTAATAATACGCCTGCTAAGACGAATACGGAACCTAGAAATATGAGTAGTATCAGTAACACAGAGGATACTACGAACCAGACTAAGAGTAACCATAACACCAACACTGAGAATACTATTATCAACATTACTAGAAAGCAGATCACGAATACATACTAGTCATACTAATTCTAGTAGTCATACGGTTTTTCATCATACTTGCAATAGTTCAACCAATAAAACTTTGATAAAACCAATACTAAGATGTCACGACTACAACTACGACTACCATTGATATCAATACACGTGATACTTATGGTAATACTGTTGGTCCTACTAGTAGTGAAACACCTACTAGAAACAATGCCAACCCATACCACGACTACGAATATATTAAGTTCACGATGAGCAAGCATATTATTAGTATAAATACGAAGGACACTAGTACTACTAGCACTAACATACAGGTTACCATAGCAACACGAGTAACATTGATACATTAATAACATTAGTATTACTAATGCTAGGAATAATGATATTTCAAACCTGTTACTAGGAGTAGTAATACAGATGGTACGAATACCCAGAATACGAATAATTATAGTAATACCAAGCCGGATCATGATGATACAGTTCTAAGAAGAGGAGGACGGAGAAATAATGGGAGGAGGAGGAAGAGGAGGAGGAAGGGGAGGAGGAGGAGGAGGAGGAGGGAGGAGGAGGGGAGTAGGATGGTGGAGGGGTCGGACGAATGGGGAAGATGAGCGAGGATGAGTGGGGGAGTGGGCGGAGGAGGAGAAGAAGGAGGAGGAGGATGAGGAGGGGCAGGATGAGGAGGAGATGCCAGATGGCAAGGCTCAGGCAGTGGCCTCTCCCAATGGGTCTGTGCTGAACACTGGGGGGTTGCGCTGGTTCGCTTGCGCAGACCGCCCGGTCGGCCGGACTCGCGGCCCGCCATAGGCGCAGGAGTAAAACGGGAGAGCGAGGAAGGGGGAGGATGGGTGCGGAGGTGGGAAGGGGAGGTCGAGGACGGAAGGAATAGGAAGGAATGCTGCGTCTCTTCTGCCCCCCCTCTAGCCGCTCCTCCTCCTCCTCCTCCCCCCTCCTCCTCCTCCTCCTCCTCCTCCTCCTCCTCCTCCTCCTCCTCCTCCTCCTCTCCTCCTTGTCCTCCTCCTGCCTCCCACTGATGTCACGCTGGAAGCCATCGGTTGGAGAGGTAGTATACCTCGGAGGCCAGCTGCACGTCGTGACCTGAGGGCCGTATCGTCTGCCAAACGTAGCACGGCCAGAGTCTCGATTATTCTTGATGTTTCAATGTAAGATTTGAATAGACATTCTGGGCTTTTAATTCAACTTCTGAGACTATGAATTTCTGAACCCATGATTTATAAAGCATTTCGCAGGGTGCAGATACTCCCCCTCCTATCCTCCCCCCCCGCCCCCCTCCGTCCCCGCCCTCCTGCCTGCTCTTCTGCCAGGCTGCACGAGTTCATGCACTCGCTCTTCGAGATGCTGCTGCGCGAGCGGCCGGCGGAGCGCCCCTCCATGTTTGGAACACCAGAGGAGGGAAGGGGGTCACCAGGAGGAGGAGGAGGAGGAGGGGGAGGAGGAGGAGGAGGAGGAGGAGGGGGAGGAGGAGGAGGAGGAGGAGGAGGAGGGGGAGGAGGAGGAGGAGGAGAGGAGGAGGAGGAGGGGGAGGAGGAGCAGGAGGGGAGGAGGAGGAGGAGGAGGAGGAGGAGGAAGAGGAGGAGGAGGAGGAGGAGGGGGTGGTGGTGGTCACTGCATAAGGGAAACAGAATCCCGAGCAGAGCAACACGCACCACGACCACGACGACGCCGACGACGACGACGGAGACGAGGCGCGCTTACGATCCGCACCGAAGCACGGATTTGGGAAAGGGCCCACCCTGCAGGTTCGGTTAAACAGCACATCGTTGAGCGGTGCTGCAGCCTCCCCTGAGCACAGGCCCCCCCAGAGCATCAGCCAGACAAGTCGGGTTTGCACCCTCATGCCTTGCTGGACTCTGGGCGCGTTTCGGCACCCTCTCCCCCAACCTCGTCAGGGCCACCGACAAGGGAGAGGGCGGCGGTGGCCGACGCGTCCCCGAGCTAAGAAGCTCAAAGCGCCGCGGCTGAGAGAGCCGGGAAGACAGACAGACAGACAGACGGACGGACGGACAGCCAGGCGGCGTGCAATGCCTGGCAAGCCAAGTGGGTGGTCACTGCATAAAGGGAAACAGAATCCCGAGCAGAGCAACACGCACCACGACCACGACGACGCCGACGACGACGACGACGGAGACGACGACGGAGACGAAAACGGAAACGGAGACGGAGACGGACGGCGACGGAGGAGGAGGAGGAGGAGGAGGAGGAGGAGGAGGAGGCGGAGGAGGAGAAGGAGGAGGAGGAGGAGGAGGAGGAGGAGGAGGAGGAATTCGGGGCGGGAATTCGGGCAGTTATTCCTGCCCCGATGCGTGGGCGATGCTCGGGGCAGAAATTCGGGTGTTATTCTTGCCCCAGAGGTCGGAAGCGCACTCATGGCGATAAATCCGGGCAAACACGGCAGGTGTCCGACAAATGTGTTGTCAGCACCTTCTTTCGAGCAGGGCGCATGCGACAGAAAACGATAATAAAACAGGGCCACGTGCCCAAAGCACGTAAGCAGGTCGTAGAGGACCAGAGGGGCTTCCGTTGACGTAATGAAGACGTGAATGGGATTCCCTCAAGCTGCGAACCCGTTCCCCGATCGAGGAAGGGCGCTCGCTCTTTCTCTCTCTCTAACTCTCTCTGTTTTTTTTCCCCCAACCATCCTGTGGTGTTGGGTCCTGGTTTTGAAGAGAAGGTGCCCCGCGTCTCCTCTCATTCCTTCCTTCCTCCCGCTGCCCCCTCCCTCGTCGCCGCACCCAATTTGGCCCACCCCTCACACGTTTCGTGGCCCCATAGGGAGCTCCACCGAAGGCCCCAGTGGCTGCGTTCGCATGGCGGCGCCGCACCCAATGTGGCACACCCCTCACACGTTTCGTGGCCCCATAGGGAACTCCACCGAAGGCCCCAGTGGCTGCGTTTGGCATGGCGGCGCCGCACCCAATTTGGCACACCCCTCACACGTTTCGTGGCCCCATAGGGAGCTCCACCGAAGGCCCCAGTGGCTGCGTTCGCATGGCGGCGCCGCACCCAATTTGGCACACCCCTCACACGTTTCGTGGCCCCATAGGGAGCTCCACCGAAGGCCCCAGTGGCTGCGTTCGCATGGCGGCGCCGCACCCAATTTGGCACACCCCTCACACGTTTCGTGGCCCCATAGGGAGCTCCACCGAAGGCCCCAGTGGCTGCGTTCGCATGGCGGCGCCGCACCCAATTTGGCACACCCCTCACACGTTTCGTGGCCCCATAGGGAGCTCCACCGAAGGCCCCAGTGGCTGCGTTCGCATGGCGGCGCCGCACCCAATTTGGCACACCCCTCACACGTTTCGTGGCCCCGCCCCATCCATAGGGCTCCACAACGAAGGCCCCAGTGGCTGCGTTCGCATGGCGGCGCCGTACCCAATTTGGCACACCCCTCACACGTTTCGTGGCCCCATAGGGAGCTCCACCGAAGGCCCCAGTGGCTGCGTTCGCATGGCGGTGCCGCACCCAATGTGGCACACCCCTCGCACGTTTCGTGGTCCCATAGGGAGCTCCACCGAAGGCCCCAGTGGCTGCGTTCGCATGGCGGCGCCGCACCCAATGTGGCACACCCCTCACACGCTTCGTGGCCCCATAGGGAACTCCACCGGAGGCCCCAGTGGCTGCGTTGGCATGGCGGCGCCGCACCCAATGTGGCACGCCCCTCACACGTTTCGTGGCCCCATAGGGAGCTCCACCGAAGGCCCCAGTGGCTGCGTTCGCATGGCGGCGCCGCACCCAATGTGGCACACCCCTCACACGTTTCGTGGCCCCATAGGGAGCTCCACCGAAGGCCCCATTGGCTGCGTTCGCATGGCGGCGCCGCACCCATGCCGGCACACCCCTTACACGTTTCGTGGCCCCATAAGGAGCTCCACCGAAGCTCCCAGTGGCTGCGTTGGCATGGCGGCGCCGCGCCGAAGAAAATGTTCACTATTGCGGTACTCGCAGCTGCATATGGTTGGGTCCTTCGCCAGGCTAATTTTCCCTCTTTCTCTTTCCTTCCCGACGGGCGAGGAGGATGGGAATGATGGGGCGAAAGAAGGCTCCCCGTGGGCGGGGCCGAACAGACCCCACGCGCGCCGACGCCGTCGGTGGATTTTGCGGCTACGTAGGACAGCTGCAGCTACAGTTCGGTGGCTACTCCGTCCACGAGCAGCCCGGCCCATCGCGGCTGTGCGCCGAGCCGCCCCGTCCAGAAATACGAACAGCACCGGGTGCACATGCGGTCATCTTCGATTAGTGTTAACTGGGGCCCCGAGATCGTCACGGGGGTATTTGGAGAAAGACAACCGTCTTGTCTCCGACGCCCTGGAGATCCTCGAGCAGTTCGTGGGCCTCAAGTGCACCAGCAGGCACTCGCGCGTGCGCGCCGAGGGTCACGACAGCGCCGACGCCCAAGTTTGGCCATGCGAGATGGCCGAACGGCTTGCCCAGGACATCGTGGACCAACGCCGACGCTTGAGACAACCGCGCGTGGCGAACTGTGCTCCCGCGTGTGATGTCGATGCGGCAGCCTTTCCAGCAATGGTCTCAGCGGCCACGGAGGGCTAAATCAAGAGTGTCATTGCCGCTGAGCGCGCGCGCGCTGTTCGTGCGAGGCGTGCCGACGCATCGTGCAATCGGGTTCGCTCATATTTTCCCGATACCCAGCCTCGTGCCGATACCTTCGCAGCACCCCTATCCATGGGAATGCTTCGGCTGTCGCGATGCGAAGGGGCGCGATGTCCAGCGCGCGCCCACGAGCTCAGTAAGCGTAGGTTTGCGGATCCTCATGCGCGGCCGCGTCCACGTGCTGGCCGACGTCCACGAGCACCGGCGCGACCTCGAGGACCACGTCCTACCAGCGATCAAGAGGCTCAACTACCTGGAGGGGCCGACCTTGGAGCAGCAGCCGAGGCAGCGCTGCCGCCTGCACCGTCCAGTGCGCCGGGAGTCAGCTAATCTTCCAGCGCTGTCGCTCAGGGTAGTGGACAGGGCAACTGCATTGCCATTCCACGACTGCGAGCCAGTCCAGCGACCAGGGCTGCTGCCCCGAGAGGGGCAGCGCCGCGAGCTGCCGACGCTGCTGTTGACAACCCAGCGTCTGCAGACTAAGCACGCCTGGACGTCGCCGCGTCACTGCGAGTGCCGCGTGGCGACTCGCACGAGACGCGCGTGCGAGAGCCGCGCGAGTTGCGTCTCTGGTGGTGTCGCGCCACTACGGGGGAGATGACGCGCGCGCTTCGTGCAGCCAACGTGCCGCGGCCAATCCTTGACCTCGTCCACGCGTTGGCCAACCGCTGTCAACGGCGCCGTCAGTGGCCGCCACCGGCGCGCCAAACCATTCCCGCAGTGCGCTTTCCGACGCGATTTAACCGGCGCGTTGGATGCGACATCTTTTACTCCGAGGATCGCGCGATGTTGCGCCTGACCTGCCGCGCCTCAAGGTGGCGCAACGGCCGGGGGGCGCGGGCAGATGCGATTCGACGTTGCTGGGGCAGCTGGCAGGTCCTGGATCCAGCCGTTTGGATCGATCGATGGAGACTGTCATCGTGGGCGGCGAAGGCGGGGTGACCTCCAAGTACTTCGTGGGGGAGATGATGGGGGGGGGGGCCCGCGTGGACGTCCGCGCTCCGCGCCAACGCGCTCGTTTCATAGAGCGACGTGGCGCAGTGCTGCGACGCGCGCTGCGCGGCGCCAGCGGGCTGCTGGAGCGCGAAGGCGTCGCCGCCTATTTCGACTCCATGCTGGCCGCGCCATCTTCGCGGGCAACAGCTTCGCCTGAGTGGGGGCCGTTGCGCCGTGCGGCGTCATCTGCGGCAGGCGGCTCCCCGTGCTGCCGCCGCTCGAAGCGGGCGAGGGCGGCGAGGGCGACTGTCGCCAGGGTTGGGCCCGCTGCGGGTGGCGAGTTGCAACCTGGCCGACTGCAGTGGCGTGCTTGTGATATCGCCCTGCAGCGAAGATCGAGGCTACTTCGATCGCCCGCGTCGGCCGCGCCCTCCGGACACGCGCCGCAGAGACCGGAGAGGGGCGCTTCAGCGTGGGTGATCAGATGGAAATCCGCCAGAGTCCCAGCGCAAAGGCAGTGTCTGGCTGGGCGCGTCCTGGCGCCGTCTTCTCTGTGGGCGCGGGCAGAGGCGAGGTTGCGGCCGAGTGCTGCGACGCCGAGATAGTCTGCAGACTGCTGGGCGCATGGGCCTTCATCGGTGCGCTTTCAACGACGTGAGCGCGGGCGTGGCGCGAGCAGGCCCGGCCGCGGATCGCGCGACGGACTCCGTAGAGCACGTCGCGCCGGGCTCAGGTGCCAGGACCTTCGGTCGCTGGTGGGGTGAGCTGGGCAAGCAGCTGACCGAGCAGGTTCGGCGGCGACGCCTTGGTGTCTTAGATCCTCGATGCTCTGCGCCACTCGTCCTGCAGACGCTTCCAGCTATTTGGCGATCGTGCCGTGCGTCCCGTGTGCGGTTAGAAATCAGTGGGCGACTGGCTGGGCTGCAACCGCAGTCTGGTCATCTGACGTTTCCCGTCGGAGCCCGAGCGGCGTTCGCCAACTGCGCTTGGGCGGCGTCAGAGTCGACGCCCATGGCATTGTCGGCGAGCAGTGGAAGGGCGATCGCAAGGGTGACGAACAGCTGCTGGCTGTCGACGCCTGGCAGGGCCAGGGCGGGGCGTTCGATGATCGTGTCGTCGACGTCCGTGAGGGCGCCGCCGGCGTCGTCGAGGGTGGTTCGCCATCGGCCCTGTCGGTGATATCCGAAGAGGCCGACAGAGACTCCTTTGGCCACATTCGACAAGCGACATTGGCAGCCTGGCAGGGGGTCGAGGGCGCGGAGGGGCTGGCCTGGGGGCGACAGGACCTGGAGGGCCCCGACAGCCTGCAGACAGCAATTGCTGCCGTCGAGCACGCGGCCGCCAGCGCAGGCTGCGGGCCGCGCGAGTGGCCCCTGCGCCTGGGGACTCAACGCTAGCGTCGGCACGCCCACGCGCAGTGTCACCACTTCCTGCGCGGCGCCTCCCTTGACGACTACGCTGTGGCTGAGGAGGGGGATGAAGGAGGACAGTGCGCGCAGTCATCATTGGGCCCAGTTGTGCGAGGGGCATTTCTGAGCTACCACGATGGCAACTATGTTGCCGGCGGGCCCGCCGCAGCCGCGCTGCAGGACCGCGCCGCCGTCGAGGCCGCGATAATCAATCGCGACGCCGATCTCCCGATCAACGGGAGGTGTCGGGGCTGACCAAGGAGGCGGCCGCCGCCAGTCTCGAGGAGCTCACCATCCGGGTCGAGCGCAAGTGTTCCGAGCGATGCCATTTCAAAGTCGCTCGGAACGTCGCGAGCGCAAGGCGCGCGTTCAGATGGGGGCGCTGGAAGGGGTCGGGCGGCGAGACCGCCGGTGTCGCGCGGCGCTGAGGGGCTTCCGCGACATGGGTGCCTGAGTCTTGGGGGCTTCTGCTGGTGCGGCGAAGCGCGCGTCTCAGCGCGTTCTGTCCTCTGGGGCGCGCGTCGCCGTGGGCGCCGAGGAAGCGTTTCTGCTGGGCGTGACCTATGCCGAGATGCAGGGACAGGGCGAAGCAGGTGAACTTCGCCCCGCCGTCCGGCAGTGCGGGCATCCTCAGGGGGGGCCGATGGCTGCGAGTCCTTTGGCGAGCCGACCCAGTGCCTGCGCTGCGTCGAGCTGGGCGCGGACTGCAAGATGCGCTTGGGGCTTCTTTCTCCTCGAAGCTCGGCAGGGTCACGCGCTCGCCCGAGTGCCGCGCCAAGCCGACTTGGTCGGGCCGGGGGCTTGAGGTCGAGCGCGAGGCCTCCAGCATCTGTGGTGCCGGCGGCTCAATGCTAGCGCTCGCGCCGTCCAAGCGCGTCGACGATTTTAAGGTCGCTGGTCGCGTGGGGCACGTGGGCTGGCTGATCGGCCGCGTCGAGAGCGCCCTCGGCAAAATGAAGGGTGATTGCGGCGACTTCGCCGACTGCGGCGCCCGCCAACACCGCGGCGCCGATGGCGCAGTGGCGATAGACCGGGGCGAGCGACTCGACGCGCTGATCCCCGCTGGGCACGTCGACCCGGTCAAGTCGAGAAGGCCGACGAGCAGGCCCGAGGTCCATTCCCAGTCTTCTTTGCCTTCCACCTCGGAGCAGCCGACTATGCGATGCTCGCGCAGCGTCGCGTTGCCGCCTGCGTCGCCACGCTGCGGCGGGCCAAGGGCAAGCTGCTCATCTGGCGAGCTTTGCAGTTCAATTTCTTTGGTCTGGCGCGCAGAAGATCAGCGCGCGCGTCGTGTCCTCAGCGGTGGAGTGCGCGGGCCGGGTCGGCGCGCGCAGTGCTGGCTCGTTTAAACGCGAGGAGGAGACAGGGGGAGACAGGATGCGGCGTGCGTGGCGCCGTGTGCATACCACTGGGCACCTGCCGCAGTGCGGGTAAACATTTCTGCCGCTTGCTCGACGCTGTGCGCCGCCCACGCAAATTCGCGTGTAGGTCCTCGTTCGGCTCCGAGCTGCTCGCGGCTTGTGGAGCAGCAGGCGGTCTACAGGCGCGCCCCCTGGCGCTCCGTGAGATGGCGCGCGGGCCCGCGAGATCAGGGGTCCGAGGGAGGAGCGGGGTGTGCGCTGTGCTGGCCGAGCTAGTCGTGGGAGGTGTGTCCGCCTCCGTCCTGGCAGCGAACCACGCGCGGCCGCCGTCAGAGAATAGCGCGGCAGGCCGCCCGTGGCGGTTTGCAGTCGAGGCGCGCGCCGAACAGTTGTCCGACCTGCAGTGGCGCGACGCCCGCGACATGAGTGCCGACCCCGTGGCGAAGGGAAGCGTCGGCCGCGAACTTATCTTCGACATCGTGGAGGGCGGGCTCGCTTGCGAACGCCCCGCAGGGAGGCTGCGCGAGGGGCGACGCGAGAAGGCGGTGCCGAGTTCCAGCTGCAGCAACCTCAACAATGGCGACGGTGACGCCTCCGAGTGACCACTTCGGCGTCGCATGTCCGAATTGCGTCCGCGAGTGCGTCGACGGACTCGCGCATCGCGAACTGCGGTCGCGAATGCGACGCAGTGCGTGAGAGAGAGAGAGAAAACAAATGAGAGAGAGAGAGAGAGAGAGAGAGAGAAAAAATAGAGAGAGAGAGAGAGAGAGAGAGAGAGACAAGTTCGCATATCCTCGCATGTGACGAACTGTGTTCACGAATGCAAAGTAGTGAGCCATGCCAGTGAGGGGCTGTCTCCATGAACTATGTTCGCGGGGCAGCGGGCCGTTGCGCTTCGAGCACTCGAATCATCTATTCTGTGCTCCACCAGTGTCTGGTGTCAGCCTTCTGTTCTGCCGTGGTGACAACTTTTTATGAGTGGCCTGGGTAGCAGACGGCGCCCTATCATGGTGAGTTTCTACAGAGAACCTGGTAGGTTCCCAGGCCCTGACTTTTTATGAGGGGGTGGTCAGTCAAACCCCTTACTTTGTACCGCGTTGGCTGTTCATGGTCTGTTCATTGTGGCTCTTGGTGGTCTGGGCGGCTTGCGTCCCAGCTGCCAGCGAGACGCGACGGACCCTGATCACCAGATTCGAACGGTGGATCGTCAGCACATGTAGCTTGCAGGGAAGCGGGTTTCCAGGGTTTGGTCGTGGGCGCTTGGTTCAAGACTAGCCAACCGCGCTCGCTATGCAGTGTATCTCTCGCGCCCTCGCACTCTGCGCTCCGCCCCACATGATCCATCCGTTGTCACGTTCCGCTTGACATGTCAAGCGTTGTCGCTCCTCTATGCCTCCTGGCCTCTTCCGTCTTCCCGCTCGGCACCGCTCTTTCTCTCGCTTTCTCCCTGCGCCCCCCCCCTGCCTCCTCCTGCTTCCTCTGGGCTGTGCCCTTCCGCCGGTGCCCGCAGGACCCGTACGCGTTCATGGCCGGCCACTTCCGCGAGGCCGCGCTGCTGGAGCCCTGCGGCGCGCCGCCCGCCCCGCGCGGCCCGCGGGCGGCGCCGGCCTGCCCGCCCCGCTCTCCTGCTGGCCCCCCGGTGCCCGCAGTTTGGAGCCCGCGGGCGGCAGGCGGTCAGAGACGGTCAGGCGCTGGTCAGCGAGTGGTGTCACCAGTTAGAAACATGTCCCTGTCCCTATGTTTGACATCACCTCACCCCTTATGCCGATCTTGAGGATTCCCTCCGTTTCTGGGGGCCAATCCCCAAGATTGTCCTCGCTTTTTGCTCGCCCGTCTTAGGGATAGGGATACGTCCGAGGCTGGTTATGGTGGGGTGCACCGGGGCCACTTTTTGGGGCACGATGGCGGCAAAGGGGCAGAACGCGAGGGGGGAGAGCCCGAGAGCCTGTTCAGACCGTGCAAGCTGGCGCAGGGATCCGAGTGCCCACACACCGTACGATGGCACGGACGTGGATAAAGTATCAGACACCCGCTCCGAACCGCACGGTGGTGCATTGACCGCAGGCGAGATTTTGCAGGAGCTGTTCTTTGCCATTCTTCGTCGGCGCAGCCTCCCCACGGGCCCCTTGCGCCCCTGCCCGCGCCCGGGCATCGGGGCCTCGGAGGAGGAAGGGGTACCGACACCGTTACTTTCCACTGCTGTCGCACTTTCGGACCTCCCGGGAGGCCCTCGTTGCTGCCGCCGGACTCGCCTCGATGTTTTGGCCCGATCGCGCCCCAGGAGAGGGTTGGGGAGTAACGGAGTATTGTTTGTTGGGTTTTCTCAGGGCGCCCCAGGACTTTCCCTCCTCTGCCGTGCCCCCGCTCGCCCGCCCGTTCCTCCCAGTCGTACCACGTCCTCGTTCCTCCCCGTCCGCGTCCCTTTCGCGCCTTTTCGGGCTAACTGTGGCGATGGGGCCGTGCATGCTGGTGCAAATGGGGCAGCTGGAGCAACTAGGAGACTTGGTGCCATAGCACCGTCTCCGAGGCGGTGTTACACGCCCTGGGGTCTTCCAGCGCCAGCCCGGGGCCGTGTGAATCACACTCACGTCCCTTCCCCCTCTTTCCTCGTCCTTGTCAGCGCCCGCAGACGTCCCCGCCGCGGCGTCCGCGAACAACGCCGTGGTGGTCGCGAAGGCCGTCCCTGCTGCGTCTCCGTGCCCCGCGGGGAGGGGAGGCGGGTGGTGAGCGACGGCGAGCGACCGCATAGCAGGCAAGGGGCGGGGTAGGATTTTTGAGAAGTTGTTTCCGGGCGGAAAGGCCTCCAGAGGCTTCTGGGGCCTCGGAAAGCCTTTGGGTGCCTGTGGGGGACTGTTGGGGACGGCTGGGGACCTCCAGGGACCACCAGAAAAGGCGAATATGAACAGTGAGGGGAGGAGGCGGAGGAGGGGGCGGCGGCGGCAGCGGACGACGGCATTGTCGCAAAAACGTGCTCAATACTTCTCTCCAGCGGGCGCTGTGCCCGCAAACAGAAGTCTCCGATTTTATCCTACCGACGAGAGTAGGTGAAATGCTGCAGGCAACCCCACCCCCCAGCGGGGCGGCCGCAAACCACCGGTGAGAGCAGGGCGCCACCCCGAGGGAGCAGGAGGGGGGAATGGGGGAGGAGGACCTCTGGCAGAAAGGGTGAAGATGAACGGGAGGGGAGGAGGTGGAGGAGGGGTGTTCAACGAGAGGGAGGAGGTGGAGGTGGAGGAGGTGGAGGAGGGGTGGAGGAGGAGGAGGTGGAGGAGGTGGAGGAGGGGGGGGAGGAGGTGGAGGAGGTGGAGGAGGTGGAGGAGGTGGAGGAGGGGTGTTCAACGAGAGGGAGAGGGAGGAGGGGGGAGCAGGTGGAGCAGGTGGAGCGCGAGCAGGAGGACCGCCGGCGCGCGCACTGTCTGCAGAGCCTTGGTCCTGCACCCTTCGGGCCTCCCGGGGTCCTGTGGCCCTGCCGCCACAGGTTCGGCTGCTGGGTCCTCGCCTCTGTCGCAGCACAAACGGATTTTGATGATGATGATGATGATGATGATGATGATGATGCTGATGCTGATGCTGATGCTGCTGCTGCTGATGATGCTGATCATTCTCATTATCGTTGATTATATTGCTATTGGTGTTGACGTGGTTAGTACGATCTTTATTCTTTGCATTATGGTTTTCATTAGTTTGGTCATTATCATTATCATTATCATCGCTTGCACTATTATTCTTTTCACATGTGCAACCGTTCGTAATACTTGTTAATTTTCATTGCTATAACATTTTCTTACATAGGTATGATTTGTATGACTTATTATAGTCATCATTTCCATTATTAGTAATATCATGGTTCTGATGCTGCTGATGATAATGATGCTGCTGCTAATGATTATGCTGATGCCGATGCTGATGCCGATGCTGCTGCTGATGATGATGCTGATGCTGATGCTGCTGCTGATGATGATGCTGTTGATGATGATGACGATGATGATGATCATGATGGTGATGATGATATTGATGATGATGCTGCGGATGATGATCATGATGATGATAATAATGCTGATGTTGATGCTGCTGATGATGATCATTATTATCACTATTGTTGCTATCACTATGGTTATTATCATTGACGTTATTACTATTATTGTTCTTTTCATTATGGTTATGATGAGTATGGTCATTATTATTATTATGATCACCACTCTTACTATTATCACTTGTACTGTAACACCCGTAATACTTATTAGTTGTTATTGCTGTATTCTTTCTTTTTTTAATATGTATCATCATCTCATACTTATTTCTATACTTTGTTCTGTTATGACTTACTATAGTTATTATTATCATTATCATTTATATCATGATTACGATGATGCTGCTGCTGATGATGATGCTGATGCTGATGCTGATGCTGATGATTCTGCTGATGCTGATGTTGATGATGATGAATATGATGCTGCTGATGCTGATGCTGATGATGACGATGATAATGATGCTGATGATGATGAGGGTGATGATGCTGATGATGTTGATGCTGATGGTGATCAGGAATGTGATGATGATGCTGCTGATGATGATTATCACCATTATTGATATTACGATGGGTACTGTTATTTACATTACTACGCTTATTCTTATTCTTTTGCTTCCGGTCATTATGCGTATGGTCATTCTTGTTTTCATCGCTCTTACTATTTTTCTTGTATTCTTACAATCGTAGCACTTGGTTATAACCAGATGTTATTGCTCATTCTTTTTTTTATATTGTTATTTTGTTTGTTTACATAAGTGTCACCCTAATTCTATTATCATCGATTATGATGGTGATGCTGCTGCTGATGATGATACTGCTGATAATGATGATGCTGATGCTGATGGTGATGCTGATGATGATGATGATTGTGATGATGATGAAGATGATGATGATGATGATGATGATGATGATGATGATCATCATGATGGTGATGATGCTGATGAGGATGATGATGATGGTGATGATGATGTTGTTGATGATGATGCTGGTGATGCTGATGATGATGATGATGATGATGATGATGTTGATGATGCTGATGATCTTGATGCTGATGCTACTGATGCTGCTGATGATGACTATTACGATGATGATGCTGATCATGATTATCATTCATATCATTCGTGTCGCTTTCTGTTTTTACGTATGATTTTTATTTCTAGTGTAGTTACCATTGTTTTAATTATGATATTAAATTTATGGTCATGATGCAGCTGCTAATGATGATGATGATGATGATGATGATGCTGATGATGATGATGATGCTGATGATGATGATGATGATGATGATGATGATGATGATTATGATTATGTTGATGATGATGCTGATGCGGATGCTGATGCTGATGCTGATGCTGCTGATGACGATTGTGCTGATGCTGCTGCTGCTGCAGATGCTGATAATGATGTAGATAATGATGATGCTGATGATGCTGATGATGATGATGAGGAGGAGGAGGAGGAGGACGACGAGGAGGATGAGGATCGGGAGGAAGAGGAGTTTGGAGTTTCTTTGGGGTTCCAGGAGCACTTTTTGGTTTTCTGGGGGATCCTAGGAGATCTAGGGTGTTCTGCTGAGGCAGTCGGATGGGGACATGGTGGCGATGGTGACGATGGTGGTGATGGTGATGATTGTGATGGTGGTGGTGAGGAGGAGGAGGAGGAGGAGGAGGAGGAGGAGGAGGAGGAGGTCGAGGATGAGGGAGTAGGATCAAGAGGGAACCGGAGAGGGACAACAGGTGGCAAGGCAGCGAGCGGTGGTGGACTGCGGGGCAGCGAGCAGCGATGGCTCCCCTCTCCCTGCGTCCCCTCCCACTCCCTACTCCTCCGTCCCCTCCCTGCCCCACTGCCCCCCTCCCTGCCCCCTTCCTGCCTCCATCCCTTCCTGCCCCCTTCCCTGCCCCCCTCCCTGCCTCCATCCCTTCCCTGCCTCCATCCCTTCCTGCCTCCATCCCTTCCTCCCTGCCTCCGTCCCCTCCCTGCCCCCCTCCCTGCCTTCATCCCTTCCTCTCTTTTCACGCACGTTATCTCTCGTCTGTCTGCTCCTCCTTCCCACAAGAGGGAGCACACACATTCAAGCTCGAGGTTCGCCCCCACTCCCTCCCTTTTCTTTTCACGCCCCTTCTCTCTTATCTGCCTGCTCCTCCTTCCCACAAGGAGGGAAGCGCACACATTCAAACCTGATGTTCGCCTCCATTTTTTTTGTCTCCTCATTTCTGGGGATCCCAAACTCATTTTTAAATTATTTGTTTCCAACAACTTGTTGCGCCTCCGGGTTGTTCCCTCCCCTCCCTCCTTGCTTCTTCCCTGCTCTCTCACTGCTCTCTCACTGCTCCTCCTCCCTCCATCACTCCCTGCTCCTTTCTGCTCCCTCCCTGCTCCCTCCCTCCCTGCTCCTCCCTTTCCCCCCTCGAGCGCCCTTAACACTTTTGAGCACCCGAAGGGACTCCCTTTCTCCTTCTCCCTCTCCTCTTCCACAAACGTATCCAGAGCTCCCTGGAGGTCCCTGGAGGTCCTGGAGGCGTCGATCTGGAAGGCCCTATGGGCCTCCAGAGGCCTCAAGAGGATGCCAGCAGCGCCCAGAAACCTATCGCGCCTCCATCCATCCCTCATCCCCCCCCCCCTCGCTTCACCTCGCCTGCCTCCTGATGAGGAAGCACACCTACCAGGCAGTCGGCGCAATTGACAACTGCGGTTGCGTCCCCTGACTCCCCCACCTGCTAGCAAGCGAGGCGTGTTTTTCAAGTTGCACGGCTCCTGTCCAAGGCGTACCTTTTCCTGTGCGAGCTCTTCAGCACCGCCTGCACCCCGCTCCCTCCGGCCGCCTGAGGCCCCGCCTGCCCGCGCCCTGTCTCCCCAATTAGTGCTTTGCGCGGCCCGCCTAGCTCTTAACCGGAAGAGGCCCACTCTCGACCCGCAGACCAAAACAGTTTTTCAAGTTGCGACGCGGCTCTGAACTGCCTCCCGCACAGCCTCACACCCTCATCCCTCACCTCGCCTCGCCTGTCTCCCTGTCTCCCCCCCCTCCGCCCCTTCCTTCCCCTCCTCCCCCCGGAGGCCTCGCGCAGCAACATCTCCACCGCGCCCACGAGCACGGCCACGGCCGTCGCCCTGCTCGCCCGCGCGCGCTGAGGATCAGGGCGATCAAACAGAGGAGGATGAGGATGAGGATGAGGATGAGGATGAGGATGAGGATGAGGAGGAAGAGGAGGAGGAGGATGAGGAGGAGGAGGAAGAGGACCAGAGTAAACCAAGGATGCATCAACGATGCTGCAGGACACCCTCCTCTTCCAATTCCCCATCCCACGAGCCCCTACAAGCGTTTCGCTTCACTACGGAAAGCCCCTTGAAAGACGAGGTCCCCATGGGCAGACCATTCAGGTGAGAGCCTCGTTTTGCATCGTAGCCGCCGTTCATCCTTCTATAGGGGGCCACATGCGAACCCTACCCCTACCACCCACGATTTTTGTGGGGGAGGGTGGGGTTCACTTCGCTCGGGAGCTCTCGAACGAAGTGAACCCTACCCTCCCCCTCAAAAATCGCGGGGGTAGGGGTAGGGTTCGCACGTGGCCCCCTATTCTATCCAGGTATGGGGAACGCCAAAAAGTATTTGCGTGTGAGCGCCCCGTTTCGAAGAGCAGACTCCCTCCATCCTTGCCTCTGTTCGCGCGCCGGCCCCTGGACGAGCTCAAGACCGCCCAAGAGGGCCCGAAGACGACGGCCCCAAGCTTGCCCATGAGGCTCCTGGGATTTCCAAGAGGGGTCCAATGTGGCCGCTTGCAAGCCCACGTGGGCCCCTGATGCCTCAAGCATGGACCCGAGAGGCCACAAACGCGCCCCAAGAAGACCCCGTTGCGCGAATACGGGCCCGTACGACCTTGTTGCAGCCCCGAGGTGGCGCGGGAAAGTCCCACGACGGGTGATGGTGATGGCGATGGTGATGTTGCTCGTGATGGTGTGGCGATGGTGATGATGATGATGATGCTGCTACAGCCGCTGCTGATGCTGCTGATGATGACTATGATGATGATGATGATGATGATGATGATGATGATGATGATGATGATGATGATGATGATGATGATGATGATGATGATAATGATGACGACTATAATGATGATGTTTATGATGGTGATGCTGATGATGATGCTGATGATGCTGCTGATGATGATGATGCTGATGCTGCTGATGATGATGATGATGATGATGATGATGATGATGCGGATGAAGATGATGAGGCTGATGATGATGCTGATGCTGATGTTGATGCTGATGCTGATGCTGCTGATGATGCTGATGATGAAGTTAATGATGATGCCGATGATGATGCTGTTGATGCTGATGATGATGCTGAAGATGATGATGACAATGATGATGCTAATGTTGATGCTGCTGCTGATGATGAGGAACATGATGAAGACGATGATGATGATGAGGATGGTGACGATAATGGTGGTCATGATGATGCTGATGCTGATGCTGATGCTGCTGCTGATGATGATGACGATGATGCTGGCGACTGCGACGACGACGACGATGATGATGATTATGATGAGAGTGATGATGATTCTGATGATGATCATGGTGGTTGTTATGATGATGATGGCGCTGTTGATTGGGACGATTATGGCGATTATGATGACGACGCTGACAACGACGATGATGGTGATGATGGTGATTATGGTGATGATGATGATACTGCTGATGATTATTGGGATGCCGATGATGACGATGATGACGATGATGGTGATGCTCATGATGATGGTGATCATCATCTTCATGCTGGTGATGATGCTGTTGCTGCTGATGATGATGCTGATGTGGATGATGATGATGATGATGATGATGATGATGATGATGATGAAGACGATGAAGAAGAGGCTGCTGCTGCTGATGGTGATTATGCTGATGGTGACGACGGTGACGATGACGACGACGATGGCGACGATGATAATGATGATGACGATGCTGACGATGATGCTGATGATGATGATGCTGATGATGCTGATGATGCTGCTGCTGATGATGATGATGATTGCGGTGATTGTAGTGGTGGCGATGATGGCGACGACGATTATAATATTAACGAGGATGATGATCATGCTCATGATCATGAGCATAATGGCGATGCAGCTGATGATGATGCTCATGATAATGCTGCTGATGATGTTGATGATGCTCACGATGATGCCGATGCGGTTGACGATAATGATGGTGACTGCGATTGTGATTGTGATGATGCTGATGATGCTAATGACGATGATCATGATGCTGATGGTGATGATGATGTCAGTGGTGATCAAGGTATCGACGACGATGATGCTGATGCTGACGCTGATGATTATGATGATGATGATGATTATGATGATGATGATGATGATGATGATGATGATGATGATGATGGTGATGATGATGATGATGATGATGCTGGTGATTACATGGCGAATTTGATGATACCTGTGGTTTTTAATGATGGTGTTGGTGATGCTGATGGTGATGATGATGATGGTGTTGGTGATGGTGATGGTGATGATGATGATGACGAGGATGATGGTGGTGATGATGATGATGATGATGATGATGATGATGATGGTGATGCTAATGACGGCGATGATTACGATGGTGGGGGCGATGATGACCAGGATGAAGAGGAACATCGCGCCCCCACCATCACTCTTTTCACCCCTGCTATCCTTATTCCTCGTCGTCGTCCTCCTCCTTGTCCTCATCTTCCTAAGATCCATCTTCGTTCTCACTCTTCCCTCCCTCCTCCGCCTTCTCCTTCCGCATCCCCCGCTTTCTTCGCTGTGTCCTCTTCCTCATCTCCCTCCTCCTCCCCTCGTTTTCCTCTTCCTCCCTTGCTCTCCTTCGTCCTTCCTGCTCCCTTCTCCCTTCTGTTCCACCATGCCCCACCTCTCAGCCCCCGCCCTTCTCCCTCCCCGACCCTTGGCTGTTGGAGAGGTCGCGGGGCGAGAGGGACATCAGCGGGGGGTATAATATGGCTGCACGAATGCATGCCGATGATATGATTGTGACCATGAGAACCATGGACACTCTTTACGCGTCGCCGACGACGCGTCTCCGATCGCCTGAGACGTCTCATCTCCGATCCTTGTCTGAATGAGGTTATCTTCCCGCAACGCCCCGGGCAATCGGAGATGATAACCATTGTTGCATACCCAGGACGTCTCAGGCGATTGGAGAAAACCTCATTCAGACAAGGGGCCGCCCCCCGCCCGCACGACTGTTACGGTTTTGTGCAATTCGGATAGCAAGGCGATGGACCTGACGAAGTCTCACTCGGAAGCCTCTGTGGCTATAGGGCTGTAAGGCGACAGGGCAAGGAGGCTATGGGGCTATAGGACTATAGGGCTATAAGGCCATGGGGCTATAGGGCTATAGGGCTATAGGGCTATAGGGCTAAAGGGCTACAGGGCTACAGGGCTATAGGGCTACAGGGCTATAAGGCTATAAGGCTATAAGGCTATAGGGTTATAGGGCTATAGGGCTATAGGGCTATTAGGGCTATAGGGCTATAGTGCTATAGGGCTATAGGGCTATAGGGCTATAGCGCTACAGGGCTATTGGGCTATAGGGCTATGGGGCTATAAGGCTATAGTGCTGTAGGGCTATAGGGCTACTGGGCACCCGGGCACCCGGGGACCTGGGCACCCTGGCACAATGGCACCCAGTCACCCGGGCACCCGGGCGTGCCGCCGAAATCGGCGCCAAACCTCACCTAACCATATGAATCCGCTCGGACCCCAACCGAGACAAGGGGCCGCCCCCCGCCCGCACGACTGTTTCGGTTTTGTGCAATTCGGATAGCAAGGCGATGGACCTGAGGAAGTCTCACTCGGAAGCCTCATTCAGACAGCGTGCCGCCGTTCGTCCTCGTGACTGGTGCGCAAGTCCGTGACCGCACAAGGCTGGTAGGAAGTTACAAGGCGATCCCCATCTTGGAAACAAAGAACCGCCGCCCACGTGTGTAGCTGCTGCGAGTTGTAAATGTGAAGGCGCGCGGCGCTAAGGCGAGAGACGCTTGTGAGAGTCACCAGTGCTGCATCCGTGTAATTGGTATGAGCGTGCGCAACGAATGTGCGGGGCGCTATGGCGAGATCTGGTTGCCGCGTACCACCCGCCCTCCATCCTTCTGGGTGCTGTGAATGCCAAGTCTCATGATCATACAGTGTGAGGGCGCCTCAAGCGAAGCATCTGCCCGCCTTACAGACGCGTCTTACGGTGCGACCAGGGGGGGGTGTGGAGGAGCGGGCGGATGTGGACGCATGATGAGAGAGCGGTGCATGATGATGCTTATGCTGATTATGATGATGGTGGTGTTGATGACGCTGATGATGACAATGATGATGATGCGGATGGATAATGCCAATGGTGATGCTAATGTAGATGATGACGCTGTTACTGCTGATGTGATGCTGACGGCGATGATGGTGGTGATGATGTTGCTGATTCTGCTAAGGATGATGACGACGGTTGTTGCCATGTTGTTGTTGTTGTTGTTGTTGTGATGATGATGATGCTGATAATGACGATGACGATGATGACAATGATGATGCCGATGATGATGATGATGATGATGATGATGATGATGATGATGATGATGATGATGATGATGATGATGATGATGAAAGGGTAATTCTCCAAATAGGCTTGCCCTCTTTGAGTCCTAGCTCAAACCCTACTAATTGGTCCGTTGCCCCCCCAATTTCTATGTCCCCCCTAATTCCTATGGCTATGCCTATGCCTATGCCTCCCCCCCAACTCCTATGCCTACGCCTATGCCTATGCCTGCTTGCTTGCTTGCTTGCTCGTTTGCTTGCTTGCTTGCGCACTTGCTTGCACGCTTGCTTGCTTGCTGAATTGCGGATTGCAAGCATGCTTGATTCTTCGGATTCCTTGATTTGAATCGTCAAATCTATTCGGAGTCAACGCTGGCTGATACGATAACGCAGATGCTGATGCTGAGGATGGCGCTGCTGATGCTACTGATGATGCTGACGACGATGACGGTGGTGATGATGCTGCTGATTATGCTAAGGATGATGCCGACGGTTGTGGTCGTATTGCTGTGATGGTGATCAGGATGATGATTATGATGATGATGACGACGACGATGGTGCCGATGATGATGATGCTGATAATGCTGATGCTGATGATGCTGACGATGATGATGGTTATGGGTAACGATGATGGTGATGCTGATGCTGAGGATGACGCTGTCGTTGATGATGATGCTGATGATGATGCTGCTGATGATGCTGACGACGATGCTTGGTGTGATGATGCTGCTGTTTATGCTAAATATTATGACGACGATTCTGGTCATGATGCTGTGATGATGACGACGGTGACGATGACGATGATGATGATGTTGATGATGATGACGATCATGATGATGCTGCCGATGCTGATGAGGATGATGATACTGCTGATGATGATACTGATGCTGATGATTATGATGATGGTGGTGGTGATGATGATGCTGATGATTATGATGATGGTGATGATGCTGCTGTTAATGATGCTGCTGATGATTCTGCTGCTGCTGATGATCATGATAATGCTTTTGCTGATTCCGATTATGATTGCAATTGATGATGATGGTGATGACGACGACGATGATGGTGATGATGATTGTGATGGTGATGATCGTGATGGTTGTGGTGATGGTGATGATGATTCGTTTGATGATGGTGAATGTGATGACGAGGACAATGATTATGAGAATTTTGAGGAGTAGCGCACGCTTGATCCATCTCCCATCGCTTCTTCCCTTCCCGCCCTCCTCCCCGTTTTTTGAAAGTCACCCGTGCTTCATCCGTGTAATTGTTGTAAGCGTTTAACACGGATGTGCGGGGTGCTACAGCGAGATCCAGTTGCCGAGTACCACCCGCCCTCCATTCATCTGGTTGTTGTGAATGTCGAGCCTCAGGATCATACGCTGTGAGGAAGTCTCACGCGAAGCGCCCAGGGCGCTCTACGGACACGTCCTGTGGTGCGACGAGGGACGGGGGAGCAGAGGGCGGAGGTGGACAAACGAGGAGACAGCGGTGAAAGTTGAGACGAGGAGGCCAGCGGGTACGAGGACGACGAGGACGAGAACACAGGGGCGACGATGGCGAGGAGTGGACTCACGAGGGCGAGGACGAGGGCGAGACCGAGGAGGATCAGGCGGAGATTAGGCGGAGGAACAGAAAAGCTATAAGCTATAAACTAAAAACTAACAACTAAAAACTAAGGAGGACGAGCGGGAGGAGTGCTTCGTGGAGGGCGCAGAGCGCCTGGCCGCGACCGCGACGCCACGGGGCGCCCGGCGCCGCAGGCCGTGCCGCGGAAGGAGCCTCCCGTCGTGTCGGTGCCCACTCAGCTGCCGGTGGCCTGCAGGGGCTGGGGCCTCTTTCTTCCTACCTCTTCCCTCCTCCTCCTCCTCCGCCTCCTCCTCCTCCTTTTCCTGCTCCTCCTCCTCCTCCTCCTCCTCCTCCTCCTCATCCCCCTCCCCCTCTTGCCTCCTCCTCATTCCTGCCTCTTCCCTCTTTCTTTCCTCCTCCATTCCTTTTCCTTGCAGGTGGCTCCTCCCTGTCGCACCCCGAGGCCAATCGGAAGGGCGGGCCGGGCGTTTCGCTGGATGCTTCAGAACTGGCAACAGCTTCACATGTGGAAATCCAGTCGTTTTCAAAGTGTGATTCTCGCCTGAGCGACGCGCACACTCGTAGATTAACGTCAAAGAGTTTCACGGATTGAGGGCGGGCCGTTCTCAAACGGTGAATCTCGCTTTAGCGCCGCGCACACTCGCTTTAAGCTTTTGTGGGAGTTTCGCGGATTGAGGGCGGGTCATTTTCAAAATGTGGCTCTCGCCTTAGCGCCGCGCACATTTGTTTCACAAACACTGGACGAGGCTCACGGATTCAGGGCGGGGGTCGTCTTCAAAATGTGGCTCTCGCCTCGGAGCCGCGCGCATTCGTTCAAGACGAGTGCAAGAGTTTCACGGATCGAGGGCGGGCCGTTTTCAAAAGATGACCCTCGCCTTAGCGCCGCGCGCAGTCGCTCAAGACAAGTTCAGGAGTTTTGCAGATTGAGGGCGGGTTGTTTTCAAATCGTCTCTCAGGAGGGAAAGAAACACACAGACACAATTAATCGGCGATTCCCCAGAAAATATGGGAAAATATGGGAAGTGGGGGGGAAGACAGAAACCCAGAACATATGGGAAAGTATGGGGGATATTTTTATTTTTGTGTGTGTGTGTGTGTGTCCTGGGGCCTCTTCAGTCTCTCGCTCCAGCGTCGCGCACAGTCTTCTACAACATTTGCGAGAGTTTCGCTGGTTCATAGCCAACATACCCAACACGGTGTTTGGGAGCGGTTCAGGACTGTCAAGGCGCAACAGTTACGTGGATTCGCGGTGTTGAGCTCCCACGAAGGGCGTTCTGGCGCGATTCAGGATCGCCAAGGCGTAACAGTCAGGTTAACTCGTGGCGTTGAAGTCCCGGGAATGGTGTTCTGGCACGCTTCAAGATGTTCACACGGTTCTCCCCCGACAGGGCGATTCCCTCAGTGGAAATGCCCCCCATGTAGGGGCCTATGAGGAGGGATCTTGGAGGGAGAGTGTATTTCAACATCGTCGATCAGTCTTGGGTTTGCACTGGTCCTTCTCCTCCTCCTCCTCCTTCCCCCTCATCCTGCCTTCCTCCCTCCCTCCTCTCCTCCCGAGAGAGGGGCGCAGGACGAGGGGAAGGCGGGAGGAGCGGGAGCCGAGAGGAGGCGCGCTCGGGGCGGCAGGGCGGGTGGGCTTGGGCGTGTGAGGGGCCGACGGACTGCTGCTGCATGGGGCCCAGAGGGCCACAGCAGCGTGGCGTCGAGCCAGGCGGAGCCCCCGGAGGTGCGGCAGGCGGGGCGGGCGTCGACCGGGGGGGGCGTCTGTCGGGGCAGGTGCGCGGGGATGCGGGGAGGGCCTCTCCGTGGCCACGGCAGGCTCGTGCCCCCACCGCGGGCGCGCAAGATCGAGCGCCCGCCGTTGGCCCAGAACCGGCCGGCGTGCGACCTGGCGATCGGCAAGCCCTCCGACCGTTCCAGGCTGAACGCTCCACGCGGTGCCCACGTTTGGAAGGGATCGCACATGGAAGGGAACACAATTTTTTGGTCTGCGGGGCGAGAGCGAACCTCTTCCGCTAAAAGCTAGGCGGGCTACGCACAGCTTTAATTAGGGAGACAGGGCACTGGAAGGCGGGGCCTCTGGCGGCCGGAGCAGGTGGAGCCCGGGGTGCAGGCGGTGCCGAAGAGCTTGCACAAGAGAAGGTACGCCGCGGACAGGGACCCGGGGCGAAGACCCGGAAGGCGAAGGAGATGGTGTAGCCGTCAACGGCACGTCGCGAACACCAGCCTCAAGCACTGCGGAGGAGGACGCGCCACTTGACCAGGTCGACGCAAAAAGTGGAAGGGAACACGCACACATTTCGCAGGCCTAGAGGTTGACACCAACATCAATATCGGTGGTGTGCCTCCACCGAGGGAAGAAAGTACCGATCTCGGTGATGATGGTAATATTCTGGCTTCCAAGGTGACGGAAATATTGCCACCAATACCGAAATTTAGGTTTTCTCCCCCCTGTGGAGGAACTCCCCTGTGTTGGTGCTGGTGCCCATTTCCAGGCCTCGAAACATTGGAAGCGATCCCTTCCAGCGTGCGTTACCCGCCCAGTGTGCGCCATCCAATGTGTGTAAGCCGACGCCCAGGTCGTGGCGGCACGAGCCCGCCGCGCCGGAGTCCCTCCCGCACTCGTGCTCTCCGCCGCTGCCGCCGCTGCCGCCGCGCGGGGGCTTCCACGCCCGCCGCGCGGGAAGTGCCTGGAGGGCGGGCGATTGGGGGCCATGCCAGGAAACACCCTGCACTCCTCCTCTTCCTCCTCCTCCTCCCCCTCCCCCACCCCCTCCCCCTCCTCTTCCTCCTCCTCCTCCTCCTCCTCCTCCTCCTCCTCCTCTTCCTCCTCAACGTCCGCCGCGCACGCGGGTTACGGGGGCCACGGCATACAGTGGAGGCCCATGCCAAGAAACACCCTGCTCTCCTCCAGGGCGCCCTAGGTTTCTTGGGGTGTTCGATGGCTCTGCGATGGAGGGCGTGGCGTCCCCGCAGCAAGAGTCCATGGGCGCCCTGGGGTCTCGGGGTTGGGCTTCGCGTGGAAGGCTTCTTGTGGACTGGCCTCCAGGGTACACGTTCGGAGGTCCGCGCGGATCTCTTGGGTCGGCGCTGGGACTCTGCTGGCGGCGCCTCCGGCGCCGCCCCTGGCGCGCGCCGCGTGCCAGCGAGGGGGGTTCCAGCGCCGATCCGAGAAGTCCACGCTCACCTCCAAAAACTCATGTTTGTGTCGTCTTGTCTTCTACCAGTCCCGGAGACTCTCTCACGCCACGTGCCGCCTCAGACGGCGATTGCGAAGGCCACCGCGTCGAAGCCAGCGCACTCCTACTGCCGCGGGCCCCCTCGAACAGGGCCTCGCTTTCCTCCAGCTTCTCCTCGACTATGGACAATCTGGCGATCCGTCGTGACGGCGCCCGCCCTGCCGAGTCGAATCAACCTGCAGTGGTGCGAACCAGATGTCAGCACACTCCGGTGCGCTGCGTCCAGCTGCTTCTGAACAGTGCCCCGGCGGAGTGTGGGAGCGCGTCTCTGGAACCTCGTGCGGTGAGCGCGCCGGCGGAGCGCGCCCCCCAGGCGCCCCGAGCGCGGCGGTCGCGGCGGCGCTCCGAGAGCGAGGTGCCCGAGCAGTCAGGGTCAGATGTATAAAAT